AAAAAAAAAAAAAAATGTAAAAAGAAAATTAAGAAAGCAATTAATTCATCAAATTAAGAGAAAAATATAGTTGAATCAAAGTAGTATACGAGAGAGCTCTCGCTGCCAGCTCAAGGAAGGATATCTCCCGGCCTGCAGCAAGGGGCCCAGCTGAGGGAAGGCAAACCCGCACCCTGCTCCTTTTCCATCGAGCGCATCTTAGGACTGGACCAGAAGAAGGACGGGGTGCCGCCGCTGAAGCCTCACAGGCCCTGGGCAGATGCCTGCAGCTCCTCAGGGAAAGATGGTAACCTGTGTCTACCCGCCCCGAGTCTGCCTAGCACAGTGGATCACCCAGGGACAGAAGAAAGAGTTTTAAACCGTGAGCATTACCTCTCAACCTCGGAAAGACTGGCCTTGAAAAGAGAGATGAGTTGGTGCAGAGGACGAAGACCAAGAACTGCGTTTACTCAAAACCAGATTGAAGTATTGGAAAATGTCTTTAGAGTAAACTGCTATCCTGGCATTGATATCCGAGAAGACTTAGCTCAAAAACTAAATCTAGAGGAAGACAGAATCCAGATTTGGTTCCAAAACCGGCGGGCAAAGCTGAAAAGGTCCCACAGAGAATCACAGTTTTTAATGGCGAAAAAAAAATTTCAAAGCAAATCTCCTGGAATAGATAGAGGAAAACTAAACCTGGGAACTATCTTTCAATCGCAGAATGTGAAGAATCAATAGAAATATCAAGGGTTTAAAATGTGATGTTTTCTTTCTTGCATTTTATTCAAATATTGTCATTTTTCTCTGAAAATATAATTGTAAATAATGGTGATTATAGCATGATACGTATTATATTGGGGCACTTTTACTTACACTAAAGACCTTTCCTATATATTTTAATAAACATTTTCAGAAAAAGCAGCTATTTTTAAGTAAATAAAGTTAATTTAATAAGTCAATATGCTAAACTCAATAAACTCATGACTTCCCGTAAGCTCAATTCCATTTCCAAAGTACTTCAAGTAAAATAATCTGGAAAAGAAGAGTACAGTTTACTTCAGTTAGCTTCCGTTGAGCACATTTTCAAATCTTGATTATGTTTTACTATATTGTAGAATATGATTTATTTGGGAATCTTCAGTTTTTATTGTTTTATGGAATAAATCTTCATATATCAAAACAAAAAAAAAACAAAGTAGTATACGATTTGCACAATGAAAACCCCAAAACATTATAGGCCTGGGAGATAGCTCAGTAGAATAAGTGCTTGTCTGGCAAGCACAAGGTCCTGAGTTTAATCCCCAGTACGTCAAAATAAATAAATAAATAAACAAACATGTAGTAATAAAAATTGTAAAAGTATAAAGACTTCGGTGAATGGAAAAGCACCTCCATGACCTCTTTGAGCTGCAGACACTGACTCTCACTGAAAACGTTTTGTAACAGTCATTCCATTTATTCGTAGATAATCAAGATTTGGAGAGCAAGGTGTTGCATGTTTCAAAAACTTTTCATTCCTTTTTCTCTATCAAAACATGCCCTTCAAGAATAATTTCTTGCTTCCACCACAGCAACCATCGAAGAACAGTAGTCATGGCCCTCCACTATCCTGTGACCATCGGCCTCAACAGGGTCCACAAGGTGACTAAGAATGTGAGCAAACCAAGGCACAGCTGCAGCTGCAGACGCCTCACCAAACACACCAAGTTCGTGCGGGACAAGATCTGGGAGGTGTGCGGCTTTGCCCTCTATGAGCAGCGCACCATGTTACTGCTCACGGTCTCCAAAGTGAAACACGCCCTCAAGTTCATCAAGAAAAGGGTGGGGATGCACATCCTTGCCAAGAAAAAGCGTGAGGAGCTGAGCAACATGCTGGCTGCAATGAGGAAGGAAGCTGTCAAAAGGATTGAGGCCCTCTGGAATAAAGCTTTGCAGAAAGTTAAAGAAAAAGAAAAAGAAAAAAAAAAAGAATTTCTTCACTCTGCTCATGTACTGTGCAATTGAGTTGTTTGCATTCACTCTTTTAAACTGTCCCTTTCTGGTTTGTGCATTTTTTCACCAAAATGTTTCAACTTTGCTTATGAGGAAAGATGGCTTAGTAACTTCATCACTGAAGGATAAAAACAGTTGGCAACAACTGCACGGTGTAACTTTCTGAGTTGCCTCTATAGTCAATATTAGTGGAATAGCTACATGTCTATAATTTAATATAAAAAGTATTATGGAGTTCAGGCATGTAATACTATGGCACTCCTCATATTTTAGTAGACCTCAAGTTCAAGAACCACTGACACTCACTGACCTTCACTTAGTGAAGAGAACTAGAGGCAGTCCCAGCCTCACACCATACAGGAGATATGGTGCCTATAAACCCCAGAATACTGTCAGAATAGCTCACTTTTCTGTCGACACCAAGTGAAACCCTTGTGTGTGCCTTGCGAATGTATAAATAGAGTAGAAACTACTCATATTATTGATTATTCTTCATATTTTTGGCATTCCTCTAGAATTATGCGTAATTTAACCCAGAAAGTCTTGGGGGTTTTCAGAATCGGTTGCTCAACATTGCTAATGCAGGAGGCACTGGGGAATTTTTACAGTTCCCAGGTAACTCTGGCACTCAGCATGCAATTAATCATCAAAAAGATGACACATCATGACTAAATAGGATTCATCCCAGGGATACTGGGATGATTCAATGTCCATGAATCAATAAGTGTAATAGACCACGTAAACAGAAGCAAAGACAAAAATAACACAATCATTTTAATTGACACAAAAAGAGCTTTTGACAAAATTGAACATCACTCATAATCAAGAAAAAGAAACCTGAAGAAAATAGAAGATCTTATCTCAATCTGATAAAAGCCATTTATCATAAACCAATGGCCAGGGCCAGGGAGATGGCTCAGTAGAATAAGCGCTTGCCTGGCAAGCACAAGAGCCTGAGTTCAATCCCCAGTTCTGAAAAAAAAAAAAAAAAAAAAAAAAAAAAAAAAAGCCAACATCATATTAAATGGGAAAATGTTCAATATAATTCTCAAAACATTAGCCAGAGTAACCAGGCAAGAGAAAGAAACAAGGCATAAGCACAGGAAAGGAAGAAATCAAATTTATCATATTCGCAGATAATATTATTCTCTACATAGAAGACCCAAAGAATCCACCAAAGAACTTCTGGACTCAACCACCAAATTCTGTAGGATACAAAGTCAACACACAAAAATAAAAGATGTTTCTGTACACCAATAATGAACTCAGTGAGAAAGAAATTAGGAAAGTGATTCCTTTTATAATAGCATCAAGAAAAATTAAATATTTAGGAATTAAACTAACCAAGGAAATTAAAGACTAAGAATCAAAAAATGGAAACATATCAGATTAAAAACCATCTACACAGCAAAAGAAACAAGCAATAGACTGAAGAGGCCACCTACAGAATGAGATGTCAAACTGGAAATTCCATTTGATGCAGCTATTCTCTCTCTCTCTCTCTCTCTCTCTCTCTCTCTCTCTCTCTTTCTCTCTCTCTCTCTCAACCAGGGATTGCACTCAGGCCCTTGCACTTGCCAGTGAAGTGTTTATTCTGCTGAGCCACCTCTACAGCCCGTTGACCCATCTATTCTCATGCATATGCATGTTTAAGTAGCATAGCTCACAATAGCTGAATCTTGGAAGTGGTCTACTTATATATGCACATCACCAGATGGATGAATAAAGAAAAAGTTGCATTTAGTACACGATGAATGCTATTCTGCTATAGTGAAAGATAAACTTAAGTCATTTGGATGCACTTTAAAACCATAATGCTGGGCCAGGGAGACAACTCAGAGGAATAAGTGCTTCCCTGGCAAGCGCAAGGACCTGAGTTCAATCCCCTGTTCCACAAAAAAAAAAAAAAAAGACCATAATGTTAAGAAAAATAAATTGGTCACACAAGTATCACATGGTCTCTTTTATATAATGAACCACAAGGATAAAGGACAAAATAAAATATAGATAATAGGAAAAAAGTCGTAAGTGTCACCTAAATTATTTCCTTCATGGACAAGCAGAGATGGGATATAGGATTCATCTATCAATTCAATGTAATTGTAATCAAATGTCCAACATGATTTTTAGTCTTGAATCTTCATAAACTAAAATTCATATGGAAGCCGGGCATAATGGTGCACACATGTAATCCCAAAGGTCTGGGAAACTGAGGCAGGAGGTTCACCAGATCAAGGGCAGCCTAAGCTACCTAGCAAGTTTGAGACCACCCTGAATCATAGAGTGATTTTCTCTCATAAATAAAGCTTTTAAATAAATAAAAGATGCCTAAGAAAAAATACAGGGCAGGGGCTGG